ACGCTTTATTGTACCTTCTTTAACGATAGAAATAAAATATTCTGAAACGCTTTAAAGGGAGAAAAATACACAATTAACAACGTGACTACTGTGATTCCTTTTTGATTTAAAGAACGAGCAAACGTGTTTTTATTATAAGTTATTTTAAAGAGACTTTCATATTTTGACAAATAATTATGCCGAAAATCTGTTTAGGCAAAATTACTTCCAGTTATAATTACAAAATAATAGTTGTCAAGAAATTATTTATAATATCAGATCTCAGTCTATCCAAAGATTTTTTATTAGTTTTCCGTTCTATTGTATGCTTTTGAAAGCTCTATTTGGGATCAGAATTAGGCGAAACGAATAATTGATGCACATTAAATTGTGTCTTTCACGCCATGCATTACGCGTTCGTTGGGTTTTTAAGAATGACGAGGTTCTTAATCGGATACCAATGCAAAAATAGTTACTGCTTATAATAAAGATATTAATAAAGATACAAATAAACATATTACGAGAAGCCTAAATATTAGTTACTGAAATTAATAATGGAAGGGAAGATAATCTGTAAAATGTAGAATGAAAGGGAACAATATTCGAAGGTCATAGATATTAGAAAATGGTTCAGCAGCCCATCATTGGTAACTTTTTGTAATCGCTTTATATATTGCCAACCTCGATATAGGGACGGAGTCCTAAGAAAAATAAACTATTTTTGTGAGGATACAAAATACGTGAAAAATGAGAAGTTCTACGGCGAGCAACTTAAATACGTACTTCACACTCATAACGCAATATATTTAAAAATGCAAATGAACTGAAAATTAAAAAAATCTTGAAGATTTCGTTAAGACAAGAATAAATTTTCTGAATAAAGAAATGAATTCAGCCACTTAATTGATTTACTTTGCACTGTTAAATGCTAAGCAATGTGCTTAGGGTACAATAAAAGGTTGTTAAGTTTTGTTAAATATTGGTAAAAAAATTGATGAAGTGAATGTGTGGAAATAGGAAGAATATTCTCTTTAGTCGTAATGCCACATGGTTACTGATAAGGAAACAGTTTTTTAGAGCAGTGAAAATGTTTCGTATTGCTCTTTTCGCAGCGGCAGCACTAGACGCGGCACGTTCTGACAGACGTTCGAGTGCATGGGCCGGCTGCAGATTTGTGGCGAAACATTGCGATCCAGAATTAGACACTCCTCGCGATTAAAATGATTACGAGGAAGATCAGATATCTATAAAATTAACAATAGAAAAAGAAGTCGATAAGACAATTCATCTCAGTTTTAGGTCATATGCAAATGGGATGCAAATGTATGTCTAATAGTATTCTTTCAGTGCCAATGTGCTATTCGGAAAGGAGCAAAGAAAGAACTGTTGTCTAAATTAATATTACAAGTAAAATAAGTGAGAAGTGGAAATATTTCCAACATAAATTACTTTCCGAATAATAGTAAATAATATAAATATAATAATAAATAATATAATTTACTCCAAACACAATCAAATCACAGTGTTCAAACGATACAAACCAATCTAAGCGTTCTTCGTGATTTCCATAGAAGCGTGTCAGCTTTTTACATATTACATCAATTACTTTATTTTTTTCAGACGCCGTATGTTTCACAGTGATCACACACTTTTTTCAAGAGAAAGGGAAATAAAATAAATAAGCGGAAGCGGCGACGTTCAATCCACGTCGAAGCTTCAGTAGAAATGTAACGCGCTGGCATTTGAATCTGGGCAACTGAGCAGCAGATTACTTTCGTATTAAGCTCGCTTCGTAAGATGTGAAATCTCTTTCTGAACGTGTATTAGCACCAGCATCAGATATTCCAACAAGTCGCACAGCAGGACGAAGCGCCAACCACTCTCTCACCAACGCACCTACGTATGGATTGCTCATAACGCTGGTCCGTATGCTGAACCGTGTTGTTCTATCTCACACGCCGCCTTTCCGAAACAAATACAATAAAAAATTAACCTGGCCGCACCATGTTGTACCGCGCGGGCTTCAACAAGTTTAGTACTTTTACATGATAATATTGAGTTTTCGTTCGAAATATCTCAACTGAGGTCATCACCGAAACAATAAATAAACCGCCTAGAAAAAAGAGCAACGAAACGAAATATATGTTTAGCTGCGGAATAAGTTCGAATGTTTGCAGGGGGATCATGTACCTTAGTAGAGAGCATTTGTATTACTCGCACAACGTTTCTTGATCGATTGATTGAATAAATGCGGGTAGAATGGGGATATTAGTTACGAAATCGGCCACTAGATTTTATAAAGCAGTGCCAATCTCCGGAGAACCAATCATGCCTTCGCACTCATGCATGCAATAATTTGCATTCTAACTTTCTCAGGAGTTCGAGGTATCTCCTGTAATGGACTTCACCTCTTTGGTTATTTATTTAGATTTTTTGGAGAAAATCACGAACAGAAGTACTTATCTTCAACAGAAAATAGTTTCTAACTTAGCCAGTGAAGATGTGTTTGGAATGTTGTCATCAATGCTAGCTGCGAGCTTTTGTCTTCAACTGTTTATTGTGCCAGAGATGGGAAAGCAAGGTCATTGGTGAAGAAAAGTTGCGCGATTAATGCAAGCTGAATGAAGCTAGATAGACAAAGCTACTAATAGAAAACAAGGGGAACATTTAAAATTTTATGTACTGGGAGTGTTTTGGATAATGTTTTCCTTCTGTCACGTTATTAGCAGTTGTTACGAATTGCAATGCCAGAGTATTGCTATCGTTAATTTTACAGGATGTTCCATCCTCTTGTTTTGAACGTCCTATTTTGTTTCGCGTTTGTTTACTTTTGATATATCTTAAAATTTAAGCACACTTTCCATTCAAGTTGAAATAAATTCCATTAACGTAACATGAAACGCTACAGAACCCGACAAACTACGGTGAATATACTTCTCAGCTATTTTTATATCGTAACAGAATTCGCACAAGCGTTCATGTTTCCAACTTAGAACTAATGTGCTCGTTGTCTTTACTACGGAAACTGTATTGTATATGTTATTTTGGGAGAAAATTCGCACCCTTTGAAGCGAGCTTTACAAAAGTAAAAGTACTTCTTTTTAAACACCATTATACCCCGCAGGCGCCGGCTTAAGCAACATTGGCTTAAACCGGCAGGTTACATTGTGCACCCTTTGGAGAAGATACATGGATGTCGTATGGTACCTCTGCAGTCCACTCGTCTTCACGCACACCATTGCTGAAGTGACAGTGGAATTCCATACAGCTCATTGCAGACCTTTGCATGAAGTTTTATACAAGTTACTTTTGAAAGTCTATCCAATTTGAAACACTGATGTAGCGGTTGAGGTACATAGGTCACTTGGCCGTATATTTAGTCCCTTAGGAAGCAGCTCTCCAAACAATCTTTTAACTACGCCTCATGGAGATTTGACAAGATGGCTTCAATGTTTTGGATTGATACACTACTCGGTAAATAGGATATGATAGATACTTGAGTCAACACGTAAGTACGAACAACGATTTCATTAGCAGAGTAGGGGTTTGAAGATACGAAGGCAACGTTTTCTGAAGACATGTTTATTGTTAAACACCACAACACAGCACATTTCTTGAATCTGTCGAGGAAGACTGAGCTCTCTGGCTGCTCGAGGCCTTTTCACTGCCGTACGCCTATTATCGGGGCGATGTGTTGTGAACCAGCTCCCAACGGCACATCCAAAATCCGAGTTATTTTTCGGGACTGCAACATTCATGAAATGGAAATTGAAGACGAAGCGGTGCAAGTAACAACCGTGAAAAATGAAATTGAAATGCTCCATTCTTGAGGATTTAGACCTATAAGCCCCCCCCCTCAATGTAAGTAGAATCGTTAGTCTTGATCTGTGAAGCCACTTGAGCCTTCACGCTGACCAACACACTAATGATACTACTTCAGAGAGGCCACCCATTCAATGCTTCTGGCCCGTTAGATTATAAGGTATTACTATAAAAAGGGACCGTATTGACAGCTATAGTTTGACCAGTTATGGCAATATAACTGCAAGTTAGGTCTATGCTCCCATTTTGTCAGTGAATTAATTTTCAATTAGCTCATTTGTAAATAGCTTCATTAGTTCTCTTCTAGTGACATCGCCTTTCATGGCGTTCACTTGTTTTCCGACCTTTCAAAGTCCCTTCTTAGAGTAATTTCTCTGTCCAACGGGGCAGCTCCTCCTCGGGCACCTCTTACTACGAAGATTCATCATACGGGCAAAATTAATATTTTTTTTGCAATGACATTATTTTGTTTCCTACATTCGGTTGAAAGACATTGGCAACACGTTTTCGAATTGAAAACATTTGAACATTCTAATGCATTTATAGATTATTTTACAGAACTTATGTAGAAAAGTAAAATATCTCCTAGATAATTTGACAAGCAATGTATGAAAACGGCGCTTTGAATCGTAAGATTAAAATAATTACTATGTTTTCAATTTTTTATTAAATCGCTTTTAAACTTTCCTTTTTATTTCTGAATTCGTTTCGAAAGTTGGAATTTTTAGAACAATTTCAACAAAATGACTTATAGTACAATTTTAACATCATAATAGCGTTTAAAAATTTTAAAAACGAAAATAAAAATGAAGTTACTCTTCCGAAATACATTCGCGTTTCAGGAGTGCAGAAGGTTTGCATCGCAATTATTTCGATTGTTTTATGTTCTCAATTTTTTAAAGTTGTTATACGTAAAAAAAGCCAACAATGCAAACTGTTCCAGGCCATGCGTCGGTTCAATCTGCTGTCGGTTATTCATTTGAGATTCAAGCATTGCTTCTGTAGGTTTCAAAGACCTTCTCTGACTTTCCGCTTGAAGCAGAGGGGGAAGGAAAGGGGAGGAGGTAAACAGTTTGGAGCAGCAACAGCGTGGGGATGAGGCGACGTCCATCTCCATGGAGGTTGTCAGGGGCGTTGCTTTCCAGGGTGGCGCGGGTGGCTGGAAGTGCGGCCTGCAGCTCGCAGCTCTCCGCTGGAGCTCACAGCTCGTAGGCATCCGGCCGCTTCCAGTAGCCGGAGCGCACCAGCTTGTAGAAGCGTAGCACCCCGTAGATGGCCGCCACCTGCGGAAACAAATGCGAAACTAGTTAGTTTTGGTTTAGAGAGAAAGCTCAAATGGCTTCGAAACAATAAATAAAAATAATTTCCGTAATGATATTCCTAACATTTAGCATACAATTAAAAATACCTTCAAGGCTGGATGAAAGTAATCTATCTGTGCCCAAACGTTTCAGAGTCACAAACTGAGCTATCTGAAAGGACATTGCGTGTACCCAATAGCCACTGAAGATGTCTGCCGCAGTAGCAGACGAAACGTTTGGGGACAGAATGTCCGATAGATCATGGCCATCCAGCCCGGAAGGTATTTTTAATAGTATATTCAGCCCTGACAGCCTACATTGGTTTACTTAGTCATGCAGTCCATATCGTGCATGATATCTTAGAATAACACTACTCGTTTCGCAGTATATACCAAAATATTTTGTAAAGGAAGTTCTGCAACTAGATCGTTTGTAGTAACGGTCTTTCAGTAGATAGTCTACACATAGATTTACTATTCCAAATTGAGTTATTTTATATAATTAAAAACATTTTCAGGTTTTACAACGTTCAGTTCACATTCTACATTTGTATTGTTGGCTTAAAATAAACCTAAGCTTATTGCTAATAAAGGTAATTCTGAAAATTACAGTTTTTGGGGAGGAATCCTTTTTGCGGAGACCTCAGGGGAGTTACATTTCGGAAAACTTTGTAAGGAAGGAAACTTATTTTTATTATGGTTATGAAGTATGGAATTTCAACCTAACCGGAGGAGACGTATTGTAGTGATTTGAGGTACGTTATGGTAAAACTGTGTGAAGAGATACGTGGTGTGGTTTTCTATTGTTTCGACTTGAAATTCATTGTGCAGGTGATGGTTGGAAATAAGCCATGGTGATTTTTAATGAAAAGGAAAAAGTGATTTCAAGTGGTCTGTATTTTTTTGTGTTCGATCTTGCTGCATTTACCCACACTGGACAGGCAATTAATATGTCTAACTAGTTAGTAACGTCATTAGGTCATTAGTTAGTAATGCTGCTGAAATCACTTATTCAGATCTTGTTTCCTTCATCACCTCAATACCACATGCTCCAGATGCTGTGCACTTATCTGTGAGGTAATAGCAAAGTTCTGATCAGAAAATTATGCGAACATTGCAGATCCAGACTTTGTAATGGAGAGGAATTGAAATTATCCTAACCAAAATGACGTAAATGATTTGGTAGGAGATCTTGGTCTGACGAAGTCAAATGCTGAGTGATGATATCAAGGATTAAGAAGTGGGACTCGGGATGCGAGTATAAAATCACAGCTCAGGGTTATCGTCACGCAACTTTTTCCGCTTTTTCCTTTGAAATTGGTCTCTGTTTATTTGCCACATATTAGCAGTTTGTTTAATGAAATTAGAATCACCTTGAACCCAAACGAACGACACATATTCATAGACTACGAAGCTCCATGGACGACGATGGACCGAAAGGCTGGATCGAAGAGCCTCAAGGCTGTGCTACAACAAAATGGAACAAGAATCCATATCTTCCTATGGCTCACTCAGTGCTCCTGAAAGAGAATTGCAGCAGTATCAAGATCTTGCTAGAAGCCTTGAAGTATGATGAGGGATTCTGGTGTGTTTCTAAGGTGGTTTTACAAAGCGTCCCAGCTATATTTATCTTTGGGACAGCAGAAACACCAAGGCGCACTACAACAAGCAACTTCAGTCTGAGTGTTCTGAGTGCTCTGTGGGGACAATTAATGTTAAACGGGAGCCGTTGCTAGATAGCGAGAAGGTGGTTTTGTCTCTACTGAACAGAAAGATGGGGCTTCTGAAGTAATTTGTACAAACCCTAGGTAAAAATTCAACAGCTTTGAAATACCTTGGAACCCTCTTCCCAAATTTGTCCTGGGCAAAGGTCAAAGTATATGTCTCGTAGATATTTCCATACAACAAATTTCCATTGAGGAGAAGGGAAAGATGCTTGGACCTTTATTGCCTTTGCTCAGAGCTTCCTGGGCAATAACAAGGTCAAAAACTTAGTAAAGAACTACAGTGAAATAGATTGCAGAGTGTCATTAAAGGATTAATGCTCATTTTGACATATCCAAGGATAATATAGAAGTTTACTCGGAGGAACAAATGGAGCCTACTTCCAGTAGGATATGCTGCATTTAGAACGCCGCAACCAGAGAACATTTAATGAGAGTTTGACTAAAGACTATTTGGAGGCTTGTACGTGAAAGTGATTTAGAATCTACACGTAAATATCGAAAAAGCAGCACACTTCCAAATATTCGCTGGTATTTATTTTTACTACGTTCCATACATTTTAATTGCATTCAATATAATCTCTCTTTGCTAGTTATAATTAAAAGAAACAATGAAACAACATTGGAAAACAATTTGGCCTCCATTAAAAATGAAAATAAGTTGATTTCAGAAATACCAATCTCTTGCTCAAAAAAAGTTTGAAATCAATAATTATATATTTCTAACTTTCAGATATAACGAATTAGAAAATAGCATTTACTTCCCGAGAGATAGATTTTGTGTTAGTATTCTTATTCGGCTTCAGACGGAGAATTTTATATATAGAAGCGACAATATCACCACTACCATATTAATCATTATTATTAACAGAAAAAATAGCAAAACAATTTCGAAAAATCTTTCTTAGAAATTGAGGTTTCGAATATCTCATACCTAAAATATATTTAAATTTTACAAGTTTCAAATACAGCGTAACTTAATTTACCGTTTTTATGTAACCAGAGAGAACAGTAATACGTGCTGTCGAAAGAGTGTGCTGTTGGCATGCCATAACTGACGAAAACTGCTAAACACCTGTGCAATAAATGTGGTTCATATATTTACAAAACTCCACTCGGATGTGCCGGGAGTTCGCGGTGTCCATACCACACTGATGCAAACAAACCGCAAGCGCATATGTACACACACATCTACATTCAATGTGTACCTTCCCTGGTAATCACACAGAATATTCATGATTTTTTTCTACAGCATGCAAATCTCTTTTTATGGAATGGCGATTACGCAAAACACAAAGCTGACTTCTTGAATTCATGTTGAACAACGATACAAGCGATAGCCAAATACATTGTACAGCTCCATCACTAAACATTTGGTACATGAAATATATTTCCGCTCTTTTGAGGCCTCATTATTTTCTATAAAGAATATATACTGATATTTGTTTCGGTTTCAGAATGCAAACAACATAGTATAAGAATAGTACAATTATGCAACTAGTTTAAAATGTTGAACATTTTGATCTTTGACGAATAAAAAATATTGAATGACAATAGGAGCGAGTTTGCTGTTTTATATGAAAGCATTATGAATTAGAAGATTAGATTTTCATCGGTTTGGTCTCATGACACATCATGTTATACAGTGCGCCAGAAAAGTCTCTCCGTACCGAGCCGAGTCAGGGCCTCTTATTAAAAATTGTATTTAGGATGGTAGCAATCAGACTACTAACAAGCAGGCAACAGGGGACAACACTGTCAGCATCTATAATGATTGTTGATGAGTATGTAACTTATGTTTTCTTTTCGTACAAGCTGCAGCTCGTGTAACAGTATAATTTCTGTTGCTAACATTCTCACCAGCACGGTGCGACTGCGAAGTAATTTTCCTGGCGCACTGTATGTTAGTCATTGAGCTAGGATAGCTCCATGATGTTAGAAGAGCTTCATGATGTTAGCGTTGATGTAAATGACTGCAAATATATCGATCCAATTACGATATCCGTCGCAAGAAATATTAGAAATGGTATCGTAAAAATTGATAAACTTTTCTATAATTCATAAGAGTACTTTTTTAATTGGATGAAACTGTATTCGACATATATTCGCGATATATTATTAGTTAAGTATGAATCTGGCACTTATTACTCTTTCAGATTTGAAGAATTTAATGGTAAATGTGTCAGAAGCGAGATGTAGTTGGACCGTTATGAAGATCATTAAAACATTTGTTTGTTCCTTACACGAACCATATGTAATATTCTACAATCTTTTGAAAAACGATTGCCCTTTTTTTAAAATTATTTTGCACGAATAGAAAAAATGTGCAATTGTAAATATGGTATAGTTTCTATTTTCATTAAAACCTCTTAAAGTTTGCAATTTGCAGAAGTTCAAATTTATTTCCGAACCTGTATTACATCTTCAGTATTAAAGCTAGATATTTCATTCTCATTAAATTTTATCCCTCAATTCTAGATCTTTAAATTTTGTCGTGCACTTTTTTAATTTGAGTAGTAGTTAAGTACTGTTCTCGCCCAAGAAATACCTCCTTTCTCTGCTAGTAGGTGAAAGGAGCCTAGCGAAATTTGCGTGGTCAAACGGTAGAACAGGTCTCATGGCCTGAGTCTCGCCACGTAAAATAAGGCATTAATTCAATTCAATTCAATACTAATATAGGGAGAAAAAGTTTCGGTATGGTGCGTATTGTCACTTGTCCATTACGTTTTACCGTCGACCGAGTATTCAATAATAGATATTCTTTTTCTTACATTGTCAATAAATGTGCATAGGCATAAAATGTGACTACGGTGCAGCCCATTCACTGTGATTACGGATAAATCAGACAATATGCACCCGTATTTGGCCGTTTAAAATTAACTGTTTGTATAACGGATACGTTTCATAGAGAGTTAGGAGTTTGTCTAGGCCGTATTTAATTCGAAATATAGAACATCTGTGAAAAAAAAATGCAACCGAGGGGTCCGCCGCTCAGTCAGTTCATCTCTTAAGGTTTCATGTTATTCATCTTAAACATTCTGCAAATCTTAATGTGCACATTATGTGAGCGTCCCATCTTTTCATCTTTCGAGATCGCTGTTGCGTCGTTTAAAGAACCTGCTCTGCTTTTCTTACATCAGGGAATTATGAATGAAAACGTTGCAACGTGTGGCCAGGCATCATTAAAAAAAGCAAGCAGGCCATAGCCGTGTTTCTTTTAGAATAACAGAAGCGGAACGTCACAATTAGACTCTTTCCT